CACCTCCAAAGGTGGTTGAGAATGACCAAGCTAAGATCCTGTGGGACTTCCAGATACAAACTGACCAACTGGTAATGGCCAACCAACCAGACATAGTAGTGGTGGACAAACAGAAGAAGAAGGCCGTAGTGATAGATGTAGCAATCCCAAGCGATAGCAACATCAGGAAGAAGGAACACGAGAAGCTTGAGAAATACCAAGGGCTGAAAGAAGAGCTAGAAAAGATGTGGAAGGTGAAGGCACAAGTGGTCCCTGTGGTAATAGGAACATTGGGGGCTGTGACCCCCAAACTGGGAGGGTGGTTCCAACAGATCCCAGGAACAACATCTGAGATCTCTGTCCAGAAGAGTGCAGTCCTAGGAACAGCTAAGATACTGCGCAGGACCCTCAAGCTCCCAGGCCTCTGGTAGAGGACCCAGCTTGAAGGAAGGAATACAAGACCGCCCCAAAGTGGCGGGCGATTGGGGAATTATATATATATGCGTAATGTGTGTGTGTGTGTTTATAAAACAAAATGTCACACGTTAAAGATCTAATTTATATTTGATGTTTCTTGTTTTGAAGTAGCACGTTACATATTCGCAGAAACATACAAAAACAAATACATAACTTTAACACAATGCTAAAGCCATGTTAGCATCTCTGTGATTCTCCATAGCCTGTTAGAGTGTATTGCTAATATCAGTCTGCATGCTAACATGCTCAAAATACCAGTATAATAATATCAGTCTGCTATATTGTTTACCATGTCCATCATCTTATTGTAGCATCTTAACAACTAACATTTGCTAATTAATACTAAACACACACTTCAGTTGAGGTTGATCACAGTATCATTAGTTTAGATGGCATTTGGTCATAAGATACTGGGCAAATAAAAATGTTGACCGGCGGGGTACACCCTAGACAGGTCGCCAATCCATCGCAGGGCTAACACAGAGACGAACATTAAGGGATCACGTTATTAATGCTTAACCTGAGGGGAACATGAATATGGTATCTGTATGTTTTATAATAATCCACCAGTAGGCACTGATAGGGCTCAACTTGCCCCATCCCTATGTACAACTTACCCCTGCAGTAGAGCATGTTGTGCCATAGGGCCAGCGTTTTTTGGATGAGTCATACTTCCTGTATTAGTTACTGTAAATGATATGTTTTAATTTCTTTGGATGTACAACAACCTTAAGCAGATATAGCTTTTTTTTTTTAATAAATACACATTCATTTTGCCTTAGATTCATGCTATGTAAAAAGTGACTCATTTTACTCTCTTCTCCTCTATCGTGTATTGTATATGATCAGAATCAGATTTATTGGCCAGGTGTGTTGAACACGAGGAATTTGACTCTGGTACAGTGGCTCTCAGTGCGTATGTACAGTGTTTTTCCATAAAGCAAAGAGTAAACAAGTAAACAAGATAAGGCTGAGAACAATAAATAAATAAATAAAAGGAATGTGCATTAGCAAAATAAAAATAAAGTACTTATAAATATAGAAATATATATGCACACAGTTTTTCCTCGTGAAGTCCACTATTATCTTACAGACGACACAACGGTCATCGGTCTCATCTAAAATGGTGATGAGTTGGCCTACAGAAAGGAAGTTGAGAGCTAGCCCTATGGTAAAGTTGCAATAACCTGTAGCTGAACACATTCAAAACAGTGGAGATAAGTTGAAGCTAAAAGAGGTTTGTTCCTCTTTCACATCGGTCACTGGCTTTTTCCTTACTATGAACTGATCTATAGTGGCACTGGGTAACTAACACCATAGGAGTAACACACTCTAAATTTAACGACCCAGCTAACTGTTATTTCACACTATTTGAAAACTTTTTCACTGGCATATAAAATACAGTAACTCTTTTTAGATACTGGCTAGTAAACTAGTGGTCAGTATGGAGGTGGATTGGTTAGCACTGTTGCCTCACAGCAAGAAAGTTCCAGGTTCAAAGGGACCTTTCTGTGTGGAGTTTCCATATTATTCTTGTGCCTGCGTGGGTTCTCCCTGGGTACCTAACTGTAGTAAATATGAGTTGCACTTTCACCCATCTTCATGGACAGCAGTACATGTCAAAGTGTTACTGAACTGTAAAAGGCAACAAAAGAATAGTGAAGTAAAATTAAAGGATTTATTATTTATTTATGATAACACTGAAGATTAATACTCGTTAACAAATAATGATAGTATTTACTGAAATACTGCTTGTATTTTCAGATGCAACTGGAACACCAGTGTCCTTGCTGACAGCTTTGGTCTGAACGAGATGTAGCTGGGTCCTAAGGATAGTTAGCTCGGTCTGCTAGTGGGTCTTCACAGCTCCTAAAACATCAGAGCAAATTTCCATATTGGTATTACTTGCATAGACTGATGATATTCACAACCTAAGTGGAACTTTTAACTGAGTGGTGCTGCCTTCTGACTCACATGTTCAGATGGTTTTCATTGTTTTCAGTGGTCTGCAGTTTTAAAATTACATAACGTTTTTATGTTTTCTCACGCCCAGCAACACACTTTTAAACAGGAATATTATAAATGGGAAATGATAACTATTGATTTCAGGAAGTAGCAACTGGAAAGCTGTTTCCCCACAAGGTTTGCGAAACTCCACAATTTCAGAGTTCCACATGGTTTTAAGGCTCTGTCAGCAAATGGTGTCTTTGTTGTGACTGTGTGTTTTAAAGAAAAGAAGAAAGGAAGGCTAGTGGTTCCATCAGCTTCAGTACCTGACAGTCCACTACTCATTTCTCCAACATGCTGCTGCTCCTATTGCTGCTGTCATTTGGGGTGAGCTACACTTTAATGGCCGCTCTTAGAAAGAAGGATGACCACAGTGGATGTTGAAGTCTATGACTTTAGAATGACCTGCTTGTTTTTAGTTCTTTTTCTAAGTGCAGTCTTTTTTTTACCAACTGTAAATATCTTGTATAAAACATACAACAGTGCTGTTGGAAATTATTTTATGTATTATATTTTGTATGTTTGACTGCAGGATGATGGCCATGCTCAGTATGTGCTGGGGCATTTTGGGGACAATGGCTCGTGTGTGTGCAAGGTAAACTCCAACATGTGGTCGTTCCCTGCTGTGAAGTACGAGGCTGTGATGCAGCAGATTCAGTCCTGTGAAGTATCTTTGAATAACCTTGACAAACAGGTAAGTAAGATTAATCATCATTTGACATTCCTGAGTGTAGTCTGTAATTCAGACTGGGTCTGGCCTAATCCAGTCTATAATTTTACCTCTGATTTGATGGATTAAATGTATAGGCTGGTGCTGAGCCATACTGCAGTGATTAAAGGAATTAATTTTAATATGACATTTTGACAGGATTCAACATGAATATTATGTATAGTTTCAGAATTTTGAAGTATTCAGATCATATGAACCTGAACATGGAGTTTGTGTCTGTGTTTCATTGCAGGTGAAGTTGTCCAACCAGCATCTCCCTCACATCCAGGCTGTGATTAAGAATGTGACCGCTCGGCTGAAGCCTTACCAATATCTGCATAACAAGGGCCTGTACACGCCCTTGTCTCTGCGCCTCCTAGGCCAGGAGCTCAGCCAGCTGGAAACAGACATCAGTACCATCCACAGCCAGTTAAACAACGCCCAAACACAGAAACTCTCCAAAGAGGTACAGCAAAAACAGCAGATACACTATAAAAAAGGACAATTTTAAACTATTTTGTTTTCTCGTTTTGCTAAATGACAAATATTAATTGGTAAAATGACAGAAATAAAAAATGTCACTTAAATGAATTCACATAGAAAAACTAAATAATGTCAACATATCTGAGTTTTACAAGTACTGATCAGAATTGTTCAATTTTACTACATTTAAACAAAACAAACATATTATTTTACAGATGTTTGCTGTTATTTGAAGAACAAACCATCTATACAGTGAAAAAAGAACAAAAATATCAGAAAAGATCAGTGAATTTCTGGAAGCTGGGGTTCCAGGAAACACACACACAAAACTGAGTAGAATACTGTGGGAAAGGAAGACATTCAAAATCTGTTATTGTGTTTAGCCCAAAATACAATATATAGCTGTTATTTTAGGGTAAGTGTTAATCTCTGCCAAACTCATTGTCTTTCATAGAAAAAAGTTTAAAAAACATTAAAATATCACATAAAAAATTACAAGCACCTTTAATTCACAGGCAAATAACAGCAGCACTGTTGAAACAATACATTTTAAACCCAAATAGTAAACCTTACATGGAATAATTAAGCGAGTTTGCTAGGTTTTAGTAAAATTTTTGAGTTTAATATACTGTATGCGGTATGGTACTCAGCAAAAGCACATCACACTGATTAACGCAGTTACTATTACTTAACTAAAGTTACTTGGAAATTCTAGGTTAAATGAAATTGTGCATGCCCAGTTGTGTATGTTCACTCTGCGGCCACACCCAGAGACCTTAAGATAGAAGAGTTGTGATGCTGGTTGGAAAGCAGTAGTACTTATTATTAAAATATTGCCTAGTACCAAGGACTCCATTTTGCAAGCTAGTAACACCACACAACACCATGAGTTACAGGTTGCTTCCATAGACTGTATGGTCACTTCTCAGTGACTCCTGCCACCCCCATGTGATCAAAATACAGAAGATAAACAATGTGCAGAGGAAACAAAACTGTGCTGACTGGGGAGAATTTCAGTATGATTAAAAAATACCATAAGCTGCAGCAGTCAAAGGCAGCTGAAACACTTTCTCACTTAGGAGTAAACTTACTTACATTTGTTAAGTAATTTTACTCAGAATTCATTAGTTTATTCTAAAAGAATGGATTAACTGACTAGAGATTATAGAATAGACATTCTTAAATTTGTTGAATAAATTTACTTAGAATTTTTTTAGTTTACTTTAAAACACTGTGTAAAATTAACTTAGCATAAATTTTGCTTTCAAGTTTACTTGGTAAAAATAAGGTAATCAGTTTCCTGACTTTTTTCAATAAACAAAGTGTTCAGTTTTACAGTATGGTTGTTGTCAGAAATGACGTGTAAGAACGCCAAATGGTGTTTGTGGTGAACTCAATTATAATACCAGACGAACTGATTTTGCTGAAGGTTTTTTACTCGTAGCAACTAGACAATCGATACATAGTCCGGGATACAAAATCAGGTCAAAAAGACAGTCCAGGGTCAGCGCCGATAGACAGGAGTAGCCAGGAGATCCAAACTCGAGTGGTCAAGGGGAAAAGCTCAGAAGGTCGGTA